TCAAAGGACCGTTTGGCACATCTAAGATAGTTCTGCAGATCCTGTGCTTATTTTCACCAGTGTAAAAAGTGTAGAGCTGAACTATTCCTTCATTAACACTTTTGCAATCGTATCTTACCTTGACTATTTGTATTTTCACAGCACAGATTTCATGCTGAGGTGATGTTATAGAGAATATAAACAAATTATTAGTACTTGAAGGCACAAATTAATGTTCTCATTGCGGGCTGCTTGACTGTAATGGGGACATGCAGTTACTCCTGAGAATTATTTTACAGGTGGATCTGAGCCTTATAGAATCTTATTTTGCAGGTATGTGTGGGTCTGCTTGAGGCTGGTGTGTAACTGTGTCAGACTAATTTGTTCAAGGTCACATGGTGATGATCAGATCCTCACAATGAAAGAATATCATCAAGATTCTGGCAATAAAACTGTCACTACTACTGTAACAGTAAAGAAAATTTTCTTCCTCAAGTTAGATACTTCAGTGATCCTTGAGGAGAAATTTGATATCACTGCAAAAATACAGAGTACACAAAACAGATATACAGTACTATATATAGACTCACAGTATAGGGTTATGAAACGTTATGCAGTGCAGTAATGCATTCATGTGACATAACTGGAATGTGTCTAGACAGTTAACAGTGCAAAACACACATACACATCTGAAATGCAATGAAACATTAACTGTAAACATGCATAAGTTTGAAAGCCACTGGGCATATAAATGAAGTAGAAAAAAACTGTAGATGAGTGTCTTTCATAGCAAGGAAAAACAGACAGCAGCACTGTTTAAAGTGACTAATGGTCGATTTTCTTTAGTGTACATTAAAAAAACAGCGTACAAGAAGAAAAAAAAATGATTTCAGATTACTTCAAGACATGTTAGCGCTTTTGCTACAAATGCAATTTGTGATGAAATTAGATCACATTTAAACCTATATTCAGGTCTGATCACTTGTGATTGGATCACTGTAATAATATGAGGTATAAATGTGTAAATTCCCTAGTAATTATTAAAATTCACCACCTCCACGTTTTACAACTGAATGAATCCCTGGTGTTCCAGAAATCCACCACCAACTTCTTTGTTTAGCAGATGTTTAGCTGCATGTTGCTCTCTGCATTGTCAATAGATTTCCTCAATATCCAACAAATCCCAGTCTTTCTTCTCTAACCCATCCAGCAGAACATCTTAATCTTCTTTTGTCCATTTCTTCATGGTCTCAGTGGTTTCAAACCGATGCTGGATGATTGACTGAAAGTCTAAGTCTAAACAATATCAGTGAGCACAGAAGCTCAAGCTCAACACAAACTCCAGCATGTGTGAATCCATGGAAGGTTTCAAATGAAGACACTTGTGTTTTTTTACTCTCTTCTGTGCAGCTGGTGTTGGATAAAAGTGTTGTAAGGATCTATTGCACATGTTGAGCCACAAAAGCCCCCAGTGACTCATTATAGACTGCAAAAGCCAGCCATCCCTAAAGAGAGCTTGAGATATTATCACACCCGCACAGAGAGACAGTGAGACTGAGACCTCATATCCAATGAGAGAAAGAGAGAGAGAGGGAGGGAGAGGATTCTGGTTTAAATGTAGACACATCCAGACCACAGCTGTTTCTCATTTTCAGTGATTATAAAATGTTAAATGGTTAGGAATTTCTCAATCATATATTGCAAATGTATATATTTATATATTTTGCTTTTATTCATATATTCTTGTTGCTCTTAATGGATAACCTCAGCTAAGAAACATGAACATGAATCTTTCCATAAACATAACATGATGCCCTCACGTCTCATCTCACACACTCTTTACCCATCAGCTGCAGAGACTGAAATCTCGATTCGTACTTTAGCTAAAGCTCTGGGCCATAACACAAAGTTCCTGAGGGATGTAAATGATGATGATGATAACAGATGCTTCCATAAATGAACATAAACATGAGCCACCAAATTACCAGCCTGTGGAGAACTTTAATTTTCTTTTGCTTTCTTCTCTTGTTCAATCCCACTGATGAACAGAGTTTTATGTAAATGTATCAGTGTGTGGTTTCATCTGAACACACACACAGATGCTTCTATTATCACTGGAATTCATACGTATTGTTATCAGCGCTCTTCTAGCACAGAATCTCTCTCTATAGTGCCCTTACAAACATGCACGCTTAAATACTGTTTCCCAGCAGGATCACATTGCTTCATCTCATGCATAATGTCTTCCTGACTGTGCTATAGTTTCCTCTGTGATATAGGCCTACTGTAAACGTTCAGCCCAGTAACTCCAGCGTCTGCTGTTTACATCCGTTTTTGCTAAAATTAAATGTTTCGCTCAATGTTTTATTAACTATTTTTCAGTCAGTTTTAAATAAAATCTTCATTTCGGCATATTCGGACATAATTAAGACACATTAAATAAGATAATCTTACTGAATGATTTGAGGGGAATCACCAGCAGCCTGAAAAAGATTTTGTCCATTCCTGTCAGTTTTCCAACTAACACAAATCCCTAATGATCCAGCTCATTCCCCACAGCTGAGACTGATGTCACGAAACAATCCAGGCTGCTCTCCTCATACTAGATGACTAAAGTTTGACATTTCATGCTTAAAATCGGTCACGTGCCTGTGTAAAGTTCAGTGCTACAATGCTAGGTATGTTGAAAAAACCAGCATATGCTGGTTGGGTATGTTTTGACGCTGGGACGCTGGTTTATGCTGGTCCTTTGCTGGTTTAAGCTGGTCCTTTGCTGGTTTATGCTGGTCCTTTGCTGGTTTAAGCTGGTCCTTTGCTGGTTTATGCTGGTCATGTGCTGGTAAAGGACCAGCTTAAACCAGCAAAGGACCAGTTTAAACCAGCAAAGGACCAGCATAAACCAGCAAAGGACCAGATTAAACCAGCGTCCCAGCGTCAACACATACCTAACCAGCATATGCTGTTTTTTTCAGCAGGGATATGTGGTTGCTAAGGTGTTTGGAGTAGTTTTTAATATGTCGTCTCAAGATGCAACATTTCTTATCACAATATCTTTTTCTTGCTAATGAACCGAGCTCTTAGCATAGCTACTGCTAACTGCTTAAGAAACTAAGTAAGCAATTTAGTGATAATCTTAGAGTAAGCTAAGCTGCTGACCAGAGGCAAACTGAAAACACAAAGAAAGATGTATTGTTTTAAACATTTTTACATCCTTTGCTGGTTTAAGCTGGTCCTTTGCTGGTTTATGCTGGTCATGTGCTGGTAAAGGACCAGCTTAAACCAGCAAAGGACCAGTTTAAACCAGCAAAGGACCAGCATAAACCAGCAAAGGACCAGATTAAACCAGCGTCCCAGCGTCCCAGCGTCAACACATACCTAACCAGCATATGCTGTTTTTTTCAGCAGGGATATGTGGTTGCTAAGGTGTTTGGAGTAGTTTTTAATATGTCGTCTCAAGATGCAACATTTCTTATCACAATATCTTTTTCTTGCTAATGAACCGAGCTCTTAGCATAGCTACTGCTAACTGCTTAAGAAACTAAGTAAGCAATTTAGTGATAATCTTAGAGTAAGCTAAGCTGCTGACCAGAGGCAAACTGAAAACACAAAGAAAGATGTATTGTTTTAAACATTTTTACATTGTTGACGTGATATGTAATTTAAAAGACATTCATTATCATATTTTCATGATTAAGTATAAAAACACCATTATGTATTGTTATATATATATAAGTTCTTATCAGGCACTGAATAGAGTTAAACGGGGCTAATGGCACACTTTAAAGGAAATGTGCTTTTCCCTGCTTCCACAGTGATTGATTACATATTTTTATTGAACAACACATTCTGTGGAAAAATAAATCATAAACAGTAGTTTGTTTTGTTTGGTGTAAAAGGCTCACCAGCATGTGGCAAAAGGCCCCCAGTATTTATACAAGTACAATAACTAAAGTAATATGTTTTGCATAATATTAAAGTTAATACTTGCAGTCAATAAAATGGCTTTGTTGCGGAAGGGGGAAACTGTTAAAGTAAAGTTCAAATAGCATGTTTGGAGTGTGTTTAAATGATTCAGTCTTGCATTCAATCTCATAAGGTTACAGTATTATTGCTGTTGGTCGGCTCTGCTGTGCTCTTGTCGTCTGGAGTCATTTACGCTGGCAGACAGAAGACCACGTTCACCTGTGTGTCAGCCATTTAGACAGCTGAAAGAGGGGCGGCCATCCATTGTGACAGCTGTCAGACAGGCTTTTACTGGATGTGCACTCATACCTAGGGATGTTCATACACACACTAACACATGAAAGCACACACTCACAGATGACTCGACGTCAAAATGAGGTGGCGACACAGAACATGACAGCGATCGGGTGATGAGTGATACACAGCTCTGTGTGTGTGATAGAGAGATAGCAAAGCACTCTGGGAAAGAATGAAAGCTGATTTCTTTGAGCTTTCACATTGCTGGGATTTCTTTCAGCTTCACAATCATCTGATATTTCTGATTCCCTTTCATGGGAACTTCGAACTGCGTCCTCTAGGGGTCGCTATGGGGAACGCCTCGTCGTGACCCGTGTCTGAAGCATACATTGAAAAAACACCAACTCGTTGGCCGGCGACAGCCATGAATGAAAGCTGATTTCTTTGAGCTTTGACATTGCTGGGATTTCTTTCAGCTTCACAATCATCTGATATTTCTGATTTTGTCACTTTGCCTGCTTGTGCTGAGACAGAGAGGATATCGCCCATATATATCCCACAATCGCATTAAGTCGTGGGAGTCCTTATGTGTAAGATTATGTGCGTCATACAGTAGGTATCTGCAGCAGTGACATTTAAACCCCTGAGATCAATGTAAGGGAAACAGGTCAATTTATTTAGCTCAAAGGGAATCATTTAAGATTTTAAAGGGAACTCCACCATTAATATGCAAGGGAATTAGGACAGAATCACTGTTTACGGCTGATCACTGAGACGGCCAGCGAGTCAGTGTTTCTCTCTTTGTCTCATTTCAGCTTCCAGTGGCAAATACCGCTTACGCTGGCAGTGGGAAACTCCAGTCACATATCAACAGAGACCATCATTTGGGTCTCCAATAAAACAGGTACCAATTGTGAAAATGTTTTCATTGTAACCACCAGATAAAAAGTAATAACCTATTTTTCTTATACCTTGAATACACATGAGTGTACACATCTTATTTATTTTCAAAATGGTGTAAAATGTATTCTTCAAGGTTAAAAAATTATTTTTACAAATGTCATGAATTATTCATTTATCGCACCATGTGAGTCATACAACGTAATTTGTCTGTCATGAACTAAACTTGCCTCGTCATAAAGAGGACAGATTACCTAACACAATATTTTAAGAGACTTAATGACCTTGACAACCAGTCATGAGAATCCCCATTATATAATTTCCTGACTTTGATTTATGACTTTGATTTGCCAGACAAAAAGTTGTTATTATTATTATTATTATTAAATAAACTATTAGAGATAAAAATAAAAGATTATGCCAAACTACATTCTTTATTATATTGTCAGCATACCCTGACATTTCTGACATATCAAAAATGATCAAAACTAATTTAAATTACAAAGACATTAAAAGCATGGCGTATTCAAGTTATTGTATGTATTAAATTCTTTTAAGTACATTTTTAGATCTGAACAGAAAATTGAGTGCCATGTCCTTGACCTATGAAGTCCGCGACTGCTGTCATATCAGCCAGCGACACATAAAAATACAGATAAAAGTACAGATTTAATTGGAGTTCCTCATTAAATTTGACTAATTCAGCTCCTGAGAGAAATGGCCTTTTACAACACATTCAAAATACTATTAATCTGTGAGTCACACCTTCATGCAGCAGCCCCACATCCACCACCATTATATTCAGTTCTGTTCCATTCCTTTCCTCTCCATTGGGAGAGCGAGGTGGATTTTCTTCGGATGGAGCCACAGCGAGTCAAATTCCAAGAGCCGGAATTTAATTTGGTCTGTGAGTGATCCGTGTGGCTCAGAGCTCAGAGTTCCTCTGATTGTGAGACCATTTAACCACCTCCATTTTCTGCTCACCTTCTCTGAGAAACAGCCCTCATCAGAGCTACAATGTAGATCCACAGCGGCGCGTTCAATATTGAGTCTTGAAAGTCATTACTCTTCAGCGACTCTTGAAAGAAACAGAGACTATATCATAGAGACCCTATTTATATATTTATAGTCTTGAAAGTCATTAGTCCTCAGCCACTCTTAAAAGAAACAGAGACTATAACATAGAGACCCTATTTATATGCATTAACTCACCGCCTGACTCTTGCGATCTGGCCGCTGACGGTCGGATGCTCCCTGGATCACGATTCACTTCAAATGCACTGAGTCCACGAGCGCTCGAGAGCACTTAACCAGTGCATTTGTTATCCATGAAAAAGCACAAGGTCTGGCTGGAATATTACAAGATGAGAACGCAGCAAACACATTAGATTACAGATTTTGTGCATTACAAAATGCTGAATGCATCGTCTCTTCCTGTACATTTTCATGCTTTTATGAGTTAATTCCAAAGATGATAAATGCGCTGCAAATGGCAGAATATATCAGTAACTATTGTGAGCAGTATGTTTAATTTTCTGTTATATTTCATTAGAAATGCAGTCAGTTTACTTTAATTCACGTATTTTGTTACACACATTTTGTTTCTTGTATAATTTTTTTTATTAACTTACTTTGTTATCTAATGATCACATCTGTCTGTGAGTGTCTAGATGTCATTTGGTGCCATGTGTTTCTGCTCATTTGCATGTGATTTTAGCTACACTGAGCTATCAGAAGCATAATTAAACGTTTGTTTCATGTTCTTTTTTTTACTCGTGTATTTATAGAGACACACAGAGTGGGACACGTGGACGGTGAGATGTGGTTGCTGGGCAACATCAATCAAACAGGCTACTTCAGAGTGAACTACGACCTTCACAACTGGAGACTTCTGATTCAACAGCTGATGACCAACCCAATGGTACAGCACCCAGAATGCCGTTCATACACCTCTCTCAGTCCATCAGCTTTCCTTTTTGAGCATTTCCTTTGAGTTTTCTTTCGCCCTTCTGTCACGATTCTTCCTTTTCCTCATTCTCCTCCTCACTCCCATCTATCCTGCATGTTTCCTGCTGCATTATAAATGTCTCTGCTGTTCTCCACCGGCAGATCATCTCCGTGGGCAACAGGGCCGGTCTGATTGATGATGTCTTCAACCTGGCGAGGTGGGTTCTGTTTGTTACACGGCCCCTCTGGAAACATGCAGAGTCATTCAGAGAGACTGAAACCTGCACTACTGATCCATTTAACATTCTTCACACCCCCACAGAGAGCCGCTGGACTATTCAGTCTGATTCAGCTTTATTTGTGTGATGCTTTTTATTGTCACAGTAACTGTTACATTATTTCAGGGGCTCGTTCACCTACCAGTGAGAAAGTACTTGTGAGAATTGTGAGAAAAAAACTCTTAGATTATAAAAGTCTGGATTTTCAGTGCAAAACACATCAGCTAGATTTCAAAATGAAACATTTAATCTCTAAGAACTTTACTATGGTCCAAATTAAGTAATTAAAAATACAGACATTTATTTTGTTATTCCATGAAAAACAATAATTATTGTTTTTAACTTTTCATTATATCTACATTCACAAAACTCAAACTGTATAAATTTTTTTTAAAGGTGTCATATGATGCTGCTAAAAAGAACATTATTTTGTGCATAATGAAATGTGTTTATGTGGTTTAAGGTTCAAAAAACACATTATTTTCCACATACTGTACATTATTGTTTCTCCTCTATGCCCTGCCTTTCTGAAACGCGTCGATTTTTACAAAGCTCATCGGTCTGAAAAGCGAGGTGTGCTGTGATTGGCCAGCTATCCAGTGCGTTATGATTGGCCGAATACCTCAAGCGTGTGACGGAAATGTTACGCCCCTTACCATATTGTGATGCCCTGTCAGGCCGGAGTGATGATTCAAAAACATGAAAACCCATTATAAACTAGGCATTCGTTGCATCCAGTGGGGACATAATTATGGATTATAATGACTTATACTGTATTTTTATGCGTTGCGTTGCATCGCGCCGCGCCGCATATTTTTAGCTGTACAGAACTGCTCGTTTTGCTGCTTGATATTGAAAATTGGTGTGTCTTACCATATTATTTGAATGTTTTGTCTTAAAGGGGTCATATGATGCTATTTTAAAGATCATTATTTTGTGTATTTGGTGTAACAGAATACGTTGACATGCTTTAATGTTCAAAAATTTTTATTTTTCAAATACTGTGCATTATTGTAGTTCCTCTATGCCCTGCCTCTCTCAAACGCATCGTTTTCTACAAAGCCCCTCCTTCCGACAAGCACAGTCTCCTCTGATTGGCCAGCTGACCCAGTGCATTGTGATTGGCCGAACACCACAAGTACGTGTCGGAAATGTAACGCCCCTTTCCATAATCGCGAGCTTCAGCTTTTAACATAAATGTAAAGACCTTAGTTAGACCATAATGTCCTTAGTTTTACCATCAGTTCAAGCCCGAAAGGGGAACAGAGTTGTGTGACAGACACAGTGATGATGCTCGTATGTATTTGCAGTACACAAGCCGCGATTAAGAAAGCTGACTCCACTGTGATGTAACCCTGTCTCTCTCTCACGCACACACATGACGCGATACTCTACACGGCGCAAAACTCCACATTTGAACAGTCAATAGCAAATACTTAAACTATTAAGAAAACATACTTACTGTAGCTGATTCAGAATAAGCACCAGATTGTCATAGCAAAGTCGGAAACGCAGCGTCTCCCTGACATGGCTGCATCAACACTACTGTGGTTCCTGAAACCACGCCGCCTTTCTTTGCATGAACATTTGGGCGGCATTATGCAAATATTTCCACATCGTGATGTAGAGATGTGGGGGCATGTTTGAATGAGGCGTTTTAGTCCGGTCTGGATCAGCCTTCTCTTTTAGATAGAATAAATCCTTTTGTGGAAGACTTTGAGCTTTGTAACTCTGCAGATCTTATACATGCACAAATAGCTACATAACACACTAAAGAAAAGGAAAAATAGAAATCACATCATATGACCCCTTTAATTACGAACACACTGGTTTATAATGCAAACAGTTTTACCGTTTACTGCACGTTGTTATTCTTCTCATTATTTCCATATAGCGGCTAATGAACCGGAAGTCTTGCCCATAGGCTTACTTCCACGTTGAAGAAAAAGGTGGATCCTATTTTTCTTTTCTTTTCTTTTTTTTCCGAGTGAGAAGTAGTAGTTTGCCGGTACAACACTCAAAATTTGAGGTCTCATGTGATGGAGTTGATTTAATGAATTGATTTCTTTATGTACAAAGATGTGGGTCAGTTTGGAAGAGTGTGAAATTTTTTTGTTTTTAGTACACTTCACCAAACCCACACTACAAAAGAATCAAAGAATAAAACCCAGTAAACCTTGATAATATTATTTGTGACATTAGAAGACAATATATGGATATAATAATGTATGTATAAAACTAAACTGAACAATGTCTTAAATATTTTTTTTTCTAGTTTCATTTAACATTTTCATTTCATTGACAGTTTTATTATACACGGACCTTTACTTTCATTAAAAAGGTGTATTTCTGCACATTTTGTAAATGGAAGCTATTTAAATTATATACAAGCGCAAACAAGGTGCTTAAAAAAATCTTCAGCTTTTGGGGTAATTTCACATCAAACACAACTTTAAGCAAATAGTGTTAAATCCTATCTAAATGAATTCTAATTCTATTTTTATACAATACAAATAAAACGTGCTTCACTTAAAAAGCCTTGGAAAACTATGCCAAAAAATGATATGCTTTGTTTTCCCTCAAAGCCTCAAAAAGCGCTTGATGGAGTTTGAACTTCACATCAAGCTGCTTCCGATTCACACAAATGCCTTGAAGTCATGCATCTTCGGAAGCGGAGGCGCAAAGCAGAAAATATAGTTTTGTGGGAATCATCCTCAATCTTGAACTTG